TCGGCTGGGGTGTGGGGGGTGGTGGTCGGGTTGTGGAGGTCTCTGCTGGGGTGAGGAAAGAGGAGGAAGAGATCAGATTTATTCTGTTTTTCTTTTACCTTTCTTCGAATTTGTCTTGCCTCCAAGCCAGTGCCAAATTCCTGCCCTTCAGCATTGTGTTTGATAAACAATGCTGTTTGGAGAGGGAGGAAAGTTGGTTTTGCTGATGCTTAAAGCAATGGTACTGGCTGCTATGATGGGAATGTTCCTGTGCTGGGAAGAAGCAAATCAAACTGGCTACCTTGCCCCAGCACTTGGACGCTGCTTGTCAGATCAACTGTCCATATAAGCCTTGACATGCCCCACTCTTCCAGCACCCCCTACCTGACTGCTTTTTTTAGTTTCTTACTACACTGGCAGAAATAAGAGCTAAGACCTGAATTTACATTATGATTCCTGTGTCAGCCTAGTCAGAATTAATCAATGTGTCTGTTGTGCACCAGAGATCATAGAGTTTTTGGAGAAGTCAGGATCAGCTCAGTGGATGGTGGTTCCACCCGCCATTCTATCATGCAGACCAGGAGAGACTGAGAGCCTGCATTCCTTGGTGCACCTCAGAAGTCTGGTAGGTGGTGCCTATGCAGGCATCACCAAGCATGCTTGCTGGTCAGGTTTTATCAGCATTGCTCATTTCAGATCTCTATCGATGATCAGACAGGGATATGAGAGCGTGCCGCATGATGGCTGTCTCTCAGTATTTCTTACTGGAAATCAAGAGGACTTATGCTCGGACTAAGTTTTGAGTTTGTGACTGTGATAGCTCCTTTGATATCCATGCTGATTTACCGCACTTAAGAATTTAGGCCCTGAATGCTTGGCTGAACCCTGATTCACTCAGCACTTTCTTTTTATAACTAGAAATCAAATTCCTCTTTACCACATAATCAGTGGTTACCCTTACGGCCCTACCAGTCACACTCCCTCCTTAACTTTGTTTCTCTAGAGGAGAGAACCCTACAAATACTGAAGTGGTTCCCCCTCCTCTATTTCGGGCAAGAGAAATTTAGGGTGCCTGCTCCTTATAATGATCTCACATCATGTGAGATACGGAGCTCTTCTTTTAGCTTCACTGGGAAGTTTTTAAAGTTGGTTTAATCCCCCAAACTCAACATATTCAAAATATGGCATGTTGTGAAATGGCAGTCTTGTTAATGTGGAGTAGGATGAGTGTTTTTTCAACCAACAGACCTTCCAGGATATTTTGGATTAATCATTGTGTTGTTAATTAACTCATGTGTCTTCCATTGGAAATAAAGAGTATGATATTGCCAATCTGCTGGCAGACAGCAATATTAGTCATAGTAAGTACAGATGCAACAAAGATTGAATAAACAGGTTGTAAAATAGGGCTGCTGTAAATTGCCAAAGAAATAAGGAAAAGAAACACACTTCATTTAATGTGAAACTGCTGTATAGGGCAGCTATTATTTTAGTATCCTGTAACACCACTGACTGATCTATTTTATATACATGACTTAGATTATGAAATGCATTAGAAAAAGAACATTATTTTCTGGGCATGGCACTGGAAATTGGAATTACTAAAATGATATTGCTGTCACATTACTTTATTTTACTATAGTTTAGGCTTCTGGATAATATACAATACTTTGTCAGGCAATATTTGCATTTGTAAGGAATTTATTGGCTGTGACAGCACTTTCACACTTGCTAAATCAATACTTACTTGGATTTATGAGTGGAGACTTTGCCTATTTAATTGAGTGTATGACAGCTGGGAAATTGTGGGGTGATCCCACATTTGTGACAGTTTTCTGCAAGCAAACCACTAAGTACTTTTAAGGTCCTAATTCTTGCTAACAGGTAGGGTGCTTACAAGTGTGAGTAATGTCATGATAACTCTTGGATATGAATTGCTAAGGGAAGTCAGTTACCAGGAAAAAATAACAGGACGAGGATAATGGTTAATTTGGAAGCTCGGTCTCAGTTCCAGAAAATCGTTGCCCATTTGACAGAAGAGTCTTGCTCTATCCTTATTTACCAGGGTTGTTTAATGCTCTGAAGCAGTCTACTGGCTTAGAAATGGTTTAGACATTCCACGTTCAATTTTACATTATTCTGCCGCAGAATTGCACAAGAGAGTTGATTTGGGGGGACATTAACCTGATGGGATTGATGAAGGGCAGGCTTTTCTCCATGACCTTTGCAGCAGCAATACACTTGAGGAAGGTGCTATTGCTTAGTGTAGGGCCTGCATCCCTAAAGACAGTCTTGTTCACTAAGACAATATTTGCCTCTCCTTTAAGGATTCTGTTTCTCAAGCCTAGTTTCCTTGGAAGCAAGGATTATTAGTGAAAGTTTACACCTTGGAAATCAATCATTCAGTTCTCTGGCTGCTTTAGAAAAAGGTATTTGTTCTGTCAGTCCATTTTCAAATTCAGGTTTAGAAATTAGCTGGACTGGAAAATAGCTTCAGGAGGAAAACCGATTATATCAGAATCTCTGATGCCTGCAGCTTGCCGTTTCCCTGCTCTCCCCCATGCCCCATTCCCCCCAGCGTTTTGCAGTCTAGAGTTCTCAGCACTTTGATTTTGCTGAAACCTTTATTTTTCATATGATCAGCATAGGTCCATTCTACTGGATAGCAGAGGTTTTGGGGAAGAGAGTACCTCCAAGTTCCATCACTGGCTGTGGTTTTGGCAGCACCTCCCTCGGCGGCACAGAAAACCAGCAGGCGCACAAGCCCTCCGTTTGCTTAAAGGGGCCAGGGGTGTGGAGGGGGTGGGGAATCAAAGCCTTAAGGGCAAACAAGTTCTGGAATTGATACATGTAAAATAACTTGTTTTCCATAAAATATTTATTTCTTTGAATATTCACCAAGTTTGGTCACATTACCTCAGAAAGCTTATGTGCCCTGTCGTAATTCTTGCTGCACTGGAGCAACTGAGCAGCTAAATTGCAGTCCTTCCTATAGAGCTCCTAGAAAAACAAAAAATAGCCTGTTTTTTAAAGTTTGCAAATAGCTTGCAGCTTTCAGCCTTTCTCCCATGCCTGAGCAATCTTTTAAAAATTGACTTTGGGGAAATTTGGAGCATACTTTAACTTTTAAATACATTAAGATTCCGTGTTTCTTGCACGGTCCTGGGAGGTTTGCCCTTTTGCTCCATGAGGGCTGATAAAATTACTAAAAAGAAAATTTTGAGAACTGTTATTACAGAACAGAATCTGCATTTCAGAGATGGATACTTACCGTTAGGAAATGGACTTTATACTGTTAACAAGCATGGCACTATGAAGGCTAAAATAAACATGATCTTTGAAGCAAAAAGAGAATTTAAGAACAGACAATTTTTACTGAGTATTATCCAGATCAGCACGAAGGTACTGCTTTAGAAGACGCTTAAATAATCTTGTGAGACTGTGGGAGAAATTCATTGCAGAAATATACATTGTATTGTTTTTTAGAAAGAAGGCCTTTGTCTCTCTATGAAATTTTCTTGCTGGTTCCTGGCTCCTTTCATATCTTGCAGAACGCAGCTATACAAATATATTAAATCTCACTGCAAACATTTGGTGCTGCAGAACAGGACATTTCTACTGGGTAAGAAATTACCGTGAGAATTCCACACAGGGAAAAGGAGAATTTAAACAAGCTGCTTATACTATTTTTGTATTGAATGGCTCCCACAGCCTATTTAATGGGGAAATTCAGTACATAGATTTGCCCTTCATCTAAATTTAATTTAGCACACATGACTGTAACCGTATCATTCAACCAGTAGCTTTGGGACCCTGAAGGGGAGTTGTAGGAGCTGTATGCTGCTTCTCCTGATCCTGGTGCCATTAAAAACAAAGTTGGCTTCAGAAGTTGACTTTATAGGTGGGCATAGATGAGAGAGAGAATGCATGAAGGTGCTATGGACACTAGGTTGTGCTAACCTGTAAAAACTAGAAAATGTTTATAGAGAAAATGTGTTGAATACTGAAATTATTTGAATTTTCTCTGGTGCTAATTTTATAATTTTGTTGCATGCAGGTTTTTACTGTTCCACTTGTTTTTTATAAAAATTGATAAAGAAATTTTCTACGAGAAGGAAAGGTGGAAATTCCCTCTGTTTTCAAATACCATTTTAAAGGTATTCTGTAATAACAGGTACGACAAGATATTCCTGTCAGGCACAGGGGTAGCAATTGTAGGTTTCCGATGAACGTTAGTTCATTATATCTTCATATTCAAGGGCCTTTAGATACCCTTGGTTTCTGGGGGGGTTTATGTGTCTATGTGAGCTTTTATACATGCCACGTCTGCCTTAGAATGTACTGGGGAGATACATTCATTTATGTAGGTCTTAAATTTTCTATTAGTACACATTATTTTTATTCCTGAAAATGGATGCAAATGGTAGGATTCAAGAATTCAATTTAGAAGCAAAATCTCTTGCATGTGCATGGGATTCTGACATGTTCCGTCCACATTAAACACACAATATATTGCTGGCCAATGTATAGCACAGACAAGCACTCCGAGTCCCATATGGCATTACTAGGCACACAGGAGTGAAATCACTCCAAAATCTAATCCTTTCTTCAAAAGCTGTGTGCCTCTGTTTCTGTGAAGTGGTTGTCATGGAGAGTACAAAAAGCATTTCTGATGCTTTATTTTTAGCAGCTTTAAAAATTACTACAGAAAAATTGCATGTGAGTTTAATGTGCCACGTGTACTTTGTTCTCAACAAGCTGGGACATGCCACGCGACTGGAGTGACTTTCTGTCCTTTAATGTTTATCTGAATGGGAACTAGCCACGTCTGTGGCAAGTGGAACAGTAATCAGCAATTAATGCCAAGTGTTTCCCACAGTCTAAAACATGGGTTCGCATCAAAAGCATCTCTTCACGTATCTGTCAGAAGAGTAAGGGGAAATATAATTGAAGGAAGAAATATCGGCAAGACGAAAACATGTTCTCCCCAGTGTAGGATTCTTCAGTTTAACACTGTCTCTACTTATTAGGTATAATATTAATGGTTTGTTTCATAGTTCTTTATTTTAAAATTTGGAATATAACCTTTACTTTCATTAGTGATGCTACATAACTAAGGGCAGAATTTTGTCTGTGAATCGACCTCAAATATGGAGAAGTGGTACTGGTGTTTGAGGCTTCTGTACCATACTCTAACGTATAGAATAATGTTCATAATAATTCTTGGAAGAAGAGTACTTGGTATTCCAGCCCAGTCTAAGCTGCCTTTTAAAAACTATGAATATTGAATACACTTCTTCAAATGTGGGCTCCAACCCAACTCCATGAATTAGTGTAGATGCATGCGTACATATTGGGAGAGTTTTACAATTTTTTTCTCCTCTATTTTAAATCTGAAATAACTCCACCGATTTCAGCTGAATTAGTCTGGGTGTATACCTGTGCTTCTACAACCTACATGTAGCCCGTCTCATTTACCACGTCCTGTTAGTTACAGCTACTAGAGTCACAAAGTAACTGCTGTTTCAGCACAATTTCTATAAAAGTGAAGGGTCAGATTGTGAACTCTTTGTTTCCGTTGGAAAGCTATTAATCGCATAGGCACAATTCACATCAACAGGCATATTAATGGGATCAAATGCTCCCTGCTATGGTTAAGAGTTCTTATGAAATATGGGAAGATTGAATGTAAGATGCTGAAAAATAAGTGCTAACAGAAACATGCCTTCTGTAGATGAATTTTTTATTAAGTGTCTCAGGAATGGCAGAATAATGAACTAAATGCCTGCAATCTTTCTTTCTTTGCTGTCTTTTTAGGTTTGTCCCTGGAAGGATTTCATGAGCTTGGTTGCCAGCTGCAGTACGCATGCCAGTTTTCAACAGTGTTTAATGAGATGCAGGGTGACAATTCCCAGAAATTTTCCCTGTTTCATTCTACACAGAGAGAGGTAAATTGTTACACATGAACCACAGCTGGGGAAAACCTGGCTCCCACTCCCTGCAATGATCTGAGCAACCAGGCTGGGTGAACCCTGCCTTCTCCTAACAGAGCTCACTTGTGCTGGGCATCCCGTTTCAGTGAGCAAATACTGAAAGATCCGAGGAACCGCAGTAAATGTAGGGCTCTACACTGTGCCTAAAATCCTTATGATGAACGTTCACTCCATACATGCTTCCACCAGTTTGCTGTACTAGACTGAAACTGATGGCAAAATCAATGTGAGAATATTGCCATTTCTTAGAATATTTTTTTATTCAGTTTTAGGTTAGACATGAGGAAAAAAACATCAATGAAAAGTCTCACCCCAACCCCATAGCTAAGGAAACCTGAATTTACAAAATGATGGGAACATCAAATATGAATTTTAACTGTTGAGGTGACAAGTTACATTTCATGTAAACAATAAGAAATTATTCTATAATTCCATGGGAAGTGCATGGTGTAATTTCTTTCTGAATATAATCTCAAGATGTATCCATAATGAAATACTTACATTGTCTTCTGACAACTTATCTATTGTCACCTTGGCCTCTATTAAGTGATTATTGAGTGCAATTATTTCATGGCTCAATGCCCGTTTTTCCTCTTCGTAATGTTGACCCTGTGTAGAAAATGAGTAGTCAGTATTTTTTCTATTGTCAGAATATTTCAGAAAAAGGCCCTAAGGTTGATTTTATTCTAAAATCCAGGGAAATGCACAACAGACCAGTTTTTTTTTTCCCTTTTTTCTCCTATTTTTTGCTATTTTCACTCAGCAGATGAGGCAATGTAGTTTGCAAATGTGGAGGTCAAACTGATCTCACATTAGGAACCTTCACAAAAGGCTCTAGCTAGCCTGCGAAAAAGCATTTGACTGAGTCCCAGCTATTCCTTCCTCATCACAAGGCAGAGTTCATAACCTGGAAGGGGTTTGGGCTGCTCTTTGCTTTTGTTACGAGAATGTTTCACTTACGCCATTAGCTCCCATTCTCACCAGGGAGGAAGAACAATATTTAAAAAGGAAAGTAGCTGTGTGTGAGCCAGTTTCTTTTTAGCCATTGACTGCGCTGGCTGCTTTAAAAGCCCTGAATGAGGTTCATTTCTCAACATGAATGTTTGCCTGATTGTGGGGTTAACACTTATAAGCAGAATGTGACCCACTGTTGGTTAACAGGAAAATAGTCTGAGTCAAACTTCTTGGTGCCCACTAATTTAATCTTGTTACCAGTAGGCTACAACTCTTTATTATAAATGCAAAGAAATCAGCATACCGTACTGTTTATTGCACCACCTCATATATAAAAAATTATTTTGTAGCAATCATTTCTAACCCTGCCTCCAGCCTTAAGTTAGTATTAAAAAGTATGGCAGCTTCTGAATGCTCTAGCTGAGATCAAGGCATCTTCCTTGCACTCAGAGCTGTGCAAGACCATGATAACAAGATTTGCCCATTTTCTGGAGGGATCTTTCACAAAGCGGTGTTGAAATAAGGACGAAAAGTAGGGTAAACTTTAATGTACATCTGTTTTGTTTAGCGAACTCAATCCAGTGACAAATTCACAATCTCACTTCCTGTTCTAAAATTGTTAGAGTAATTTGTGAAGGACTTTCTCCAGCAGGATGATTGTATTAGCTGCTGAAATTTCCCAAATGCCATATTGCCAGGGTCACACAAAAATCTTCCATCAAAACACACTCAACATTGTCAGCTAATTGACAGCAATGGGAGTTGTGGGTTTTGAAGTCCGAATGAATATCAAGGTTAATTATCCAGCTGCAAAGCACCAGGCTATAATAAAGAAGGGTGATTAAATTGGAAGTGGCAACTCTCACCCTAAGCTGCTATTTAAAGAAAAACACCTTCTCAAATGGCCTAAGCAAACCCACAGCTTGCTTTAAACAGCGCGGATATGATTGAAGTGTCTTTGTGAAGGTCTGGACTGGACTGTTTTAATGTCAGCTTTTCTGTGGACCGTCTTTTCCCTGCTGTTGCAGGACCTCCATCCTGACAGCCCAACTGTGCCCGGAGGCCGGTTTAGGCTTGACACCTCTCCCGCCCTTGTTCCCATTGATCAGGTGCTCCTGCCGGCTGCCTGGGGACTACATCATGGAAAGCCAAAGTGTGGCTTTCAGAGCTTGCAAGAATGCCAACTTCACTGATTTTAACAAGACATACGATCTTAGGGGCCGTGGTTTTTAATTAGGCAGATCGACATGGGTTTTTATGAGGCCCTTAACTCTCATTGATTTTATTGTGAGCTAAACAACTAGACACTTTGTTAACCTCCTGGACATCTGTGCACCTCTAGAATCTGTCTCCTTTGAGAGTATGACTGAAGATTACATTTTTAAAGGTATTTAGCTGTGTAATGAGGTAGGCAAATGACTACCTAAGTACCTAGGAAAAAAGTGTCCCCTCAATTTTCCAAGCCATTTTATGCTTTTGAAGGATCCAGGTCCACTGAATACAGACTTAATCTTCCAAATAACCATTTGTGTGGAAAATTTTATCAATCCTTGTATGACAAGTTGTCAGTGCCAGGGCAGTTGATTTGTAGGACCCCCTTTTGCTCTAAGTCTCTCTGATATCAGTAAGGGTTGCTCTTGCCTTGACTCAATATATTTCTTGAACTTGACTCATTATATTTTACAGTTCAGGAAGGATCATCTGATCAAGAATTTATAGTCTTCAGCAGAGAGAAGCTCATAAAAGGGCAGCGGATTAAGGCTTTGGAAACCGTACTTTCCATTGCATTGAATAATGCTGAATCTGACTGAATTATGATTTCGTTTTATTTCAGTTATGATACCTTTTGAGCTGATGTTTTCCAGACTTTGTGTCTGACCAAGTGTGACCTTAAAAATATTTTATATTGGTTGAACTGTCAAATTTGCCTCAGTCCCAATTGGTCAGCAAATAGATACCAAAATAATAAACACCTCAGGAGCGCTGTTGAAGAAGAGGAATGAGAAAGAAAGGCCAGTCCCAGTCTTCTCCACCAGTATGTTTGCATCTTTCTCTTGAAATCAGTGTTGTTGACATGAACGAAGAATCTGTCTCACTGTGGCAAAATGAGGTAGCCTAAGAGTGGACAGGACCCTGAAAAGCTTTGGCATATTGACCACATACAGTGCGTCCATCTTTGAAAGTTCAGGGCTTCAGCCAGATGTTATTGTGGTCCAGTGGTGGTGACAAGAATACAGAGGCTTAATCCTGACACCACCTTGGGGAAAATGGTGCAGCTGGAAGAGACGGTGTGGTAGTGATGGATCACTGCATTGGAAAGATTGCTGGTTACTGGGGACTGCAACTTTGCGCTCTGCAGTTGCAGTCGGGCAATCATCATTTCAGCATCAGGTATAGATGTCAGATAAGGATGAAAGGAGGATGGGTATCATAATATCAATGCTATGATTGTGAGTTATAAATTGAAATGCTTATTTTACTTATAACCACTTTTGGCAGATCCCTCTATATCTAGTAGCTTTTAGATGCTTGGCCCTCCTGCTCTCCCATAAGGCTGGTGACCTCTCCTCTGTCCTTTTGGCAGTGCTTTCTGCTCTGCAGGTGCTAACAACCAATTTCTCAAAACTCAGCAACAGATTAAGTTAATGGTGTTATTGATATGCCAATAGCTTGCAGCTGGGCTGAGGGTTCCTGAAGCCCACTCCAAAATGCCGCAGCTATAGGCTGCAATGGGCCGAGCTGCTGGTGGGTCTTTGTTCAGGAATCTTTGTTGAGTCAGCTCAGTGCATCTTGCCCCTGCCTCCTCCCCCGGCACAGAGCCAGCGTGAAAGAATACAGCTCCATAGTGTCTGACTAACACGAGAGAGCTGCAATCATGTGCCCACCTCTGAGTCAGATCAAATTCGTACTGCTGGGTGGCTCCAGCAGTGCACAGTGCTGATGACAATGTTGGGGGAACCAAGCCCTTGGAGCCCCTGCTCCTAGCCTGGAATTAGCATGAGCCTCACTGCTTCCTTCTCAGATCTAGTGAAGGAATTAGGTATCAGGTCTTCAAAAAGAAAGCATATGATATAATAAAAGATGCCATCTCTGTCTGAAACCTTGTTTACAGCTCCATAAAAATATAAGGTGTCACTTTCAAAAGTCTTTGGTATTATCTAGTCCCTGCATCTGTCATCTGTGGTATAAGCAGGGTGAAGAGTTTTGGTAGGTTAATATAGCATGCAATCTATTAGTTAATAGATAAGTGTATTTTGGAAAATAACAAAAGCTGGATGAAAAGATCCAGTTTTCTTGCCTATCAGTGAATCCACAAAGGTTCCTACTCTAGTCCTTCAGCAGAAATGGAGCAGCCTAAAAGTTGGCTGTCTCTCTGGTAATGTTTCAGTGTCCCTTCAATGCTTCCCAGCAGCTAAAGAGTGTCCTACCGTAAAACAGTGTCAGCCTATTAGTCAAGGCTAGGCTGCTTACTGTCATCTCTGCTGTCCTGCGGGAGCTTTGAAGGACCTTTTGAAATCAGTCTCAATTTTGCAAATGAGCAGTGCTGGTCTGTGGAAATGTCAGCCTTTTCAAACATGGCAAAGTAAATGTGCTCTTGATGTTCCTGTAAGGAACATTTCAATAGGTAGCATTTCAATGCTACTGTGAGAATAATATAATGGTAGTAGTGACCATCAAGGTAGTAGTGGCCAGCAGCATTCCTTTGGAAATACCTCATAATAAGTAATGCCTGAATGACAGACAGAAAGAGAGATTTGTTCTGTTACAAATACCACCAAAGTGGCACTGGTATCCCACCCACTGCCTGGACAGAGGTTTACTGCAATGTTTTTGGGTGTGGGATACAGGCAGAACTTTGTTCCCTTTTTTCTTTATTACTGTTCTTATCCAGGAGGAAGACAGCACTTCCCCAGGAGAAATTCCCCACCTTTCTGGACCAATGTAACACTGTTAACTCAGTACTTCTCTCACAGAGCATCTTTTCACTGCAAATATTTATAGGTGCTAGGCAACTGCAATGTATTTGCTGTTGTTCTGTGGATCATGACTGGTGAACAAGTGCTTGTAGGGACATATTTTCAAAACAAGGTCTGTATGTTTTAAGGTGGTATCTTGTAATTTCGTTGAAATCATCTTATGAAGGATAAAACAGATAAAACAGCACTTGCAGATGACGCAAAACTTGGAGGAGTGGTGTGTACACCAGGACGTTGTGCTGCCATCCAGAGGGACCTCGGCAGGCTGGAGAAATGGTCTGACAGGAACCTCATGAAGTTCAAGAAGGGAAAGTGCAAAGTCCTGCACCTGGGGAGGAACAACCCCATGCACTGGTGTATGCTGGGGACCACCCAGCTGGAAAGCAGCTCTGCAGAAAAGGACTTGGAGGTCCTGGAGGACATCAAGTTGAACATGAGCCAGCAATGTGCCCTTGCTGCAAAAAAGGCCAAATGTAACCAGGGCTGCATTAGAAGTGTTGCCAGCAGGTCGAGGGAGGTGATCCTTCCCGTCTATTCAGCACTGGTGTGGCCACACCAGGAACACTGTGTCCAGTTCAGGCTCCTCAGTACCAGATAGATATGGACGTACTGGAGAGAGAGTCCAAGAAATTACCAGGAAGATGATTAAGGGATTGGAACATCTCTCTTATAAGGAAA